GGGTGCTGGTTAGGGGAGGTCCGGATGGGGAGGGTTGGATGGGGATCTGGATGGGAATCTGGATAGGGGGTCCAGATACAGGGATCCGGATAAGGGGAGTCTGGATGAAGGGGTCCAGATAGGGGATCCAGATACAGGGATCCAGATAAGGGGGGGGTCCGGATAGGGGAGGTCCAGACGAGGGCATTGGATAGGGGTCTGGATGAGGATCCGGATAGGGGGTCCAGATAGGAGAGGTGCGGATAGAGGGTCGGGATAGGGGTTCCGGTTGGGGGCTGCTCACCAGCTTTGCATGGGAACAGATCCTGCCTCCCTCTCCCCCTTCCCTGCCCCAACATTCCTACTCCCCTCCATGTTTCTCCCATCCCTGCAGCACTCACGGATGATCCGGGCTCTCCCGGAGCTCCGGGGTCTCCCGCTTCTCCCGGCTCCCCCTGTGCAGGAGGAAAGCAGAGAGGGAGACACCAGCCAGGCTCCAGCACCGCTCCGAGGCTCCAGGTGCTCCGGCCGCTGCTCCAGACACGGATTTACCTTCTCTCCCACGGCCCCTGGCTGTCCCACGCCGCCCGGCATTCCCTGGGGACCCTACGGACACCGGGATGGGGTGATCCCCTCTGCCCATCCAGTGGCAGGGCTGGCCCGGCAGCGGCTGGACCCACCTCTGCTCCGCTGGTTCCGGGCGGCCCACGCGGTCCCGGCGCTCCGGGCGGTCCCTGTGGGAGCGGAGAGCGGATCAGGAATCACCCCCCTGAGGGGCACATTGAGCATCCTACCAGGAGAGGGAGATCCGGGAGCTGGGGCTGGAGGACCAGAGGGATCGAGGGGATCTGGGGGGATGGAGGGATCTGGGGAGATGGAGGGATTTGGGGGGAATGGAGGGATCTGGGAGATGGAGGGATCTGGGGGGATAGAGGGATCTGGAGGGAATGGAGGGATCTGGGGGGAATGGAGGGATCTGGGGGGGCATCCACGTCCGGATACTACATCCAGATCCGGATAACGCATCCAGATCTGGATACTGCATCCACGTCCGGATACTGCATCCACGTCCGGATACTGCATCCACGTCCGGATACTGCATCCAGATACTGCATCCAGATCTGGATACTGCATTTGCATCTGGATATTACATCCACATCTGGATATTACATCTGGATCCGGCTATTACATCCGCAACCAGATCCGGATGCTGCATCCAGATCTAGCTACTGCATCCAGATCCAGATACTGCATCCAGATCCAGCTACTGCATCCACATCTGGATACCACATCCAGATCCGGATCCTGCATCCATATCCAGATCCTGCATCCACATCCGGATACTGCATCCAGATCTGGATACTGCATCCAGATCCAAATACTTCATCCAGATCCGGATACTGCATCCAGATCCGGATACTGCATCCAGATCTGGATAACGCATCCAGATCCAGATACTGCATCCAGATCCGGATACTGCATCCAGATCCGGATAACGCATCCAGATCTGGATACTGCATCCACGTCCGGATACTACATCCAGATCCGGATAACGCATCCAGATCTGGATACTGCATCCACGTCCGGATACTACATCCAGATCCGGATAACGCATCCAGATCTGGATACTGCATCCACGTCCGGATACTGCATCCAGATACTGCATCCAAATCTGGATACTGCATTTGCATCTGGATATTACATCCACATCTGGATATTACATCTGGATCCGGCTATTACATCCACAACCAGATCCAGATGCTGCATCCAGATCTAGCTACTGCATCCAGATCCAGATACTGCATCCAGATCCGGATACTGCATCCAGATCCGGATAACGCATCCAGATCTGGATACTGCATCCACGTCCGGATACTACATCCAGATCCGGATAACGCATCCAGATCTGGATACTGCATCCACGTCCGGATACTGCATCCACGTCCGGATACTGCATCCACGTCCGGATACTGCATCCAGATACTGCATCCAGATCTGGATACTGCATTTGCATCTGGATATTACATCCACATCTGGATATTACATCTGGATCCGGCTATTACATCCGCAACCAGATCCGGATGCTGCATCCAGATCTAGCTACTGCATCCAGATCCAGATACTGCATCCAGATCCAGCTACTGCATCCACATCTGGATACCACATCCAGATCCGGATCCTGCATCCATATCCAGATCCTGCATCCACATCCGGATACTGCATCCAGATCTGGATACTGCATCCAGATCCAAATACTTCATCCAGATCCGGATACTGCATCCAGATCCAGACACTGCATCCAGACCGGGATGCTCCCTTGGGATAGGGGGGAGCACATTCCATGGTCACTCACCGCAGGCCCAGGGTGTCCCGGGGGTCCCTGGATTCCCGATGGTCCCGGCAGGCCCTGGAGGGGCAGCGGGGTTGGAATTGTCCCTGTGTCACCCCCATGTCCCCGTGTCCCCCCCGGCACTCACCGCTTCGCCCTTGTCGCCTTTGCTGCCCTTCTGCCCCGGCAGCCCCGTCTCGCCCTGCCGAAGGGACGCGGTGATTCCCGGGAGCCGGGGAAACCCCGGAGCCGGGGAAAGACGCCAGGTGCTGGGATCGCTGCCAGCGCCGGCTGCCAGCGAGATTCCCGACAGCGGGAAGGCGCCCGTGGGAACCTGTTCCCGGCTCCGGCTTCCGCTCACCTTGTCGCCGTCTTCTCCGGATGGGCCGGGAGGGCCTCCGGGACCCGGCAGCCCCACGGGCCCCTGGATGCCATCGTGTCCCGCCGGACCCATCGGACCCCTCTCGCCCTGCGGGCAGGGAATGGAGCTGGATGGGAGCTTCCCGGCTCTTCCCAAAAGCTCCTGACTCTTCCCGGTTGCTCCGGGTCATTCCTGGATGCTCCGGTTCGGGCTATCCCGTGCCGAGGACCCGGCACTTACCGGAGCGCCCTTCTCTCCCGTGGGACCGGGGGCTCCCTGCGCCCCACCGCGTCCCGGCATTCCGATGCCTCCGGCTGCTCCCGTAGGGCCTCGCTCGCCGGGAGAGCCCTGAGGGGGCACAGGGGCAGGACAACCCTGGGGATCCTTCTCCCTTTCCAAGGAATCCATTGGGATTTGGATCCCAAGGAGCACATGGAAAGGCAGGGGGGTGCAGGATCACAAATGCTGGGATGCTCCATACTCACTGTGGGTCCCGGGGGGCCGGGGGGGCCTTCCCCGCCCTTGAGGCCGGCCGGACCCTGTGGGAATGCGGGAATGCGGGAATGGGGGTGAGGAAGGTCCCCGCGGGATGCTCCGC